TGGCACTCTGAATCTTCATGAGCACGCGTTCCAGGTTTTGAAGGTGTTCCTCAAACGTACGGCCCACAATGATAATGTCATCCAAGTAGACCAGACAGGCATCGCCAATTAGCCTGGTAAGTACAAGCTCCATCAGCCTTTTAAATGTTGCTGGAGCATTGCACAATCCAAACGGCATTACTTTAAATTGCCACAGACCGTTTCCCGTCGAGAACGCGGTTTGGTTGTCGGCGGTTGTCCTTAGAGTCAATTTCAACTTGCCAGTAGCCACTTTTTAGATCCAGCGTGCTAAACCACTTTACTCCTATAAGCATGTCCAGCGTGTCATCAATTCTTGGCAAGGTATAGCTGTCCTTCTTCGTAGCGTCGTTCAGACGGCGGTAGTCAACACAAAACCACATGCTGCCATCCTTCTTCTTTATCAGCACCACGGGTGAACACCATGGACTAGAGGAAGGTTCAATAACACCATCCTTCACCATTCCTTCAATCATGGTTTCTACTTCCTTTTCACGTGCTACCGGCAATCTTCTTGGCCGCTGACGAATAGGCAATTCTTCTCCTGTGTTTATTTTGTGTTGAACTAAGCCAGTCTTTCCTATGTCAGCATCGTTTGATGAGAATACATCGGCGTACTTGAGTAAGAACTTCTTTGCCTTGACCATTTCGTTCGGGGAGAGAACGCTGCGACAGTCTTCCAAAAGTGGGGTCACTCTCGTTTGTGCATCCTTGCTAGGGGTCTCACTCGATAGATATCGGCACCGACGTAACCAATCCACTTCCTTACAAGTACCAACCAGCGTGCCTTTTTCTATAATCTGTTCCCGGTCACAAAGGTTCAGCACACGTACTCCTGAGATGTCAGTGGTTCTGACCAAGGTTCGAACTACTTTCCATGGAAGGTCATTGTTTACCCTTTCCACAACGGTACACAACGGTGAGCTTGCCCAGCGTTTCGAGGAAGACTAACCAGAACAATCGTTTCCGATCTCGGCGGAAGAACAATCTTCATCATGAGAAGCTTCTGCTCCTCCCTATCGCATTTGAGCTGCTCTTCTCCTGTTCTTCCTGCTGCTCTTTCAACTGACGGGCCTGTTCCTCCTGTCGGCGGGCCTGTTACTCATGTCAGCGGGCCTGTTCCTCCTGTCCGCGCTTCAGCTGCTCTTCCAATCGACGGGCCTGCTCCTGCAGCATCACCATCAGAGCACCTAAGTCAGGTGCTGCAGGTGTAGGAGCTGCTGACGTGCCAGCCTCCGTGGCTGGCAATTGGCCCTCTGACGTCTGCGGCGTTGTACCACCAAATCGTCTCTGGTCCGTCTCCTGCTGGCGTTGACTTCGGGTACGGACACCCTCCGTTTCCTGCTTAGGTAAAATCGGCATGATTTAATCCCACTTCTGACACCGAGCTTGAGGTTCGTGACAATAAAAAATGCCGATAGAATTACCAAAATTAACTCTTTCATTCACTTTACACTAATTAAAACTTAGAACACTAATAATTAATCACACTGATTCACTTTATTTCGCTCCGAAGCTTCGCTTGTCTCGCCAAATTCAATACTTCCTCGATCGCATCTTGCAGCGCCTTTAAATACACATTATCACCGAAACATCCAGAATATTCAAGTAAATACGCGTGCCAATCGACTAGGAGCCGAAAGTTTGAGTGTCGGGCTTCTAGAAGCTTAGTTCTTCGTTTCGATACTAGATGGCGTTGTCGGTTGAAAGATTAGTGATGTCATTTTCTGGAAAGCTCCCCTCGCTCTCGTCCCCGACACTAGATGGCGCTAGTGCCGGTTACATGACGTCGACTTAGGCGCGCAACAGTACTACTGAAGGCCTCGACTACCACGACAATATGAATTTCGAGAACTATGAAAAATGGCTCAGAACTCAGTTGATGCCCAACCTACCATCCAACACCGTCGTTGTAGTTGACAACGTGTCCTATCGTGTAAACAGTATAAACAGTGGGATCCTGCACCAACCTCTAACCATAGCTCACTGAAAAAGGCATTCAGTACGAGGAAACACTACTGAAGCCTCAGTTATACAATTTAATAAAGGCAAACAAGGAAAGATTGAAAACACTTTCGATTGACCGAATCCTAGCTGAACAATGCCATCAAGTGCTGAAACTACCATCATACCACCCAGATCTAAATCCTATCGAAATGGCATGGTCCGATATAAAATAATTTGTAGGTAGCAAAAATGTAAAATGGAGTGTTACTAAATGCAGAGAGCAATTTCAAGAAAACTTTCTGATGGGTGCATGGGATTGGGAAAATTTATGCAAAAAGGTGAAGGATAAAGGAGAGCAATGTGCAAAGAATGACAATGTCATGGATTTGGTAACTCCTTGGTGAGTCTGATAACGGTGACGCTGCTCGTGCCGACGACCGAAGCAGCCCTGAGCATGGGCCGTCAACGAGGAAAAGGCCCTGTCGAGATATCATTGAAGGCGTGATACCATTGTCTGATTCAGACTAGGAAAAGGGCAGTATAGTTTTTGTAAATGTGTGTGATTGTCATTTTGCCCATCTCTAATTTAGAATTAGTTTTTTTATATCTAAAATAAAATGATTAAAACTACTTTTACGGATTTTATCGCGTTTATTTTTACTTTTTATTTACTTTTATTTTTAATTCCCGACGTTTCGGGCGCTTTCCAGCACCCATGGTCACGGGGGACTGAGATGACTGACGTCCCGATGTCATTGTTAAACCCGGAGTACCTTCAGCTTTTTTTAATTATTGTTTATGGTCCGATCTATGCAAAATGAACTGACTATGTCCTGAGGTCTTGCAGTGGTATGCTTGGGTTTAGTTTTAATTTTATTGATTATAGGATCCCAAGCAGGTGGTAGTACCCAGCCTCCTTCTCTATTGAAATTAGGATGTTTTTTTAATTTCAATAGCCTCACGTATCATCCTTGGTAGGAATCGGTGTTCTTTCGCGAGGATTTGTGGTCTATCAAATCTGATGAATGAATTCATTACATAATATTTGATAGACCACAAATCCTCGCGAAAGAACACCGATCTCTGACGTGTATTTTATTTACAAATTTCACCAAAACCCGTTCTTTTCTAATGCTTCACATTACGAAGTTTTAAAGAGTCGTTTACGACAGTGTCACCCAACGGACAGTTAGTATCGATAGTATCTTAAGGCAACTAAGCGAAATAGCGAAGTAGAAGAGAGCTACAACAAACAAAATAATAAGGTGTACGCACACAGTAGTGAAGAAGCGAGCAACCGTATTCCGCGTGTCCAACGAGGTCATTTTCCATCCTCGCTCATCGTATGGTTGGGAGTTTCTTATTGGGGCTTAACAGAGGTACATTTTTGTGAGAAAGGTTTAAAAACGAATGCAGTTGTTTATCAAAATACAGTCCTGACGAACCTTGTGTAACCTGTTTCTCATACCATGTTCAATAACAGGCACTGGGTATTCCAACAAGATTCGGCGTCAGCTCATAGAGCGAAGAGCACACAAGACTGGCTGGCGGCGCGTGAAATCGACTTCATCCGGCACGAAGACTGGCCCTCCTCCAGTCCAGATTTGAATCCGTTAGATTACAAGATATGGCAACACTTGGAGGAAAAGGCATGCTCAAAGCCTCATCCCAATTTGGAGTCACTCAAGACATCCTTGATTAAGGCAGCCGCCGATACTGACATGGACCTCGTTCGTGCTGCGATAGACGACTGGCCGCGCAGATTGAAGGCCTGTATTCAAAATCACGGAGGTCATTTTGAATAAACTATAGTCTCATAAGAATCTATGTTTTGTTAAGTTCATTTTGGTATATAAATGGTTACATAATGAATCAACTTGTTTCAATTATTTTATATTAAACATGTGATATAATTTATGACCTGACTAGGTAATATGCAATTTGGGTACAGATGATAAACCAGGGTCACATTGGGTAGCTTTATATATCGATACGAATGACGTCGATCAATATTTTGATTTATATGGACGAGCACCTGTACGATATCATCTAGAGTTTTTCAAAAGGAATTGTAAAAGATGGAACTGGAATGTTGATAAGATTCAGAATGAGTGGACTTCAGTTTGTGGCGAATATTGCTTAATGTATTTGCTATATAAGTTTCAGGGATGTTCAATGCATAGTTTTACGAGTATATTTACAGGGAACACATTGTACAACGATATTTTAGTGGATGAGATGTTTCGCTCCTATTTTATAGATAATAAGTAATAAGATTTTATTATTTATAAATAAAAATTTTAACAAAATTAGGTAATGTGTTTTATTGATGAGTCAGACTAGTGTAGATAGGAACAAAGGAGAACAATAGCACCACGCTGAGGAAGAATAGATAATGACGGTATTCAATGAACAATAGATAAGTAGATAAGAACAATGGAGCGCTAATGACGGTGGAGGCCTTCACCGGATATAAATTAGATAAGAGTTAATTGATCTGCACATCTCCGGAACCGTGCATCCTACGCAAAAATGGACCGCAGATTCGTGATCAGAGCATGCCAAAACCTTTTTTTTTTAGGATCGTGAGTCGAACGTCGTACTTGCGTACTTGTACCACTTCTGACTCAGTGCGCCAGAACTGGTACAACGTAACTACTAGTGCGCCAGAACTGGTACAACGTAACTATTTTCGAACATTTCGTTTGAAAAAGATAAATAGTTTCTCCGGCTGTAATACTTCGAATAAATTACTTGGGTCTCAGAGGCTCTAGAACTTTTTAGTTTGAGACATTAATATATCTTAATAGCAATAGTACACATTTACTTTGAAGTATGATTCCGGGTATGATATTCTCTCACCTTTTGATATTATTCATATTAAAAAAACGAATTTCGAAATTCTAATCTTTCTTAATAAAATTATTGAAAGCAGTTTTTGCACCCTACTCTTTTGCTTATCTCTGGACTCGCTTAGTCAGCGTCCGAAACCTACACTGAGAGGGAATTACATCTCACAGCTGATTGCGAACGGCATGTACTATCCCGTGAGTCCGAAACCTACACTGAGAGGGAATTACGTCTCACAGCTGACCGCGAACGGCATACATTATCTCGCGAGTTCGAAACCTACACTGAGAGAGAATTACGTCTCACAGCTGACCGCGAACGGCATACATTATCTCGCGAGTCCGAAACCTACACTGAGAGGGAATTACGTCTCACAGCTGACCACGAACGGCATACATTATCTCGGGAGTCCGAAACCTACACTGAGAGGGAATTACGTCTCACAGCTGACCGCGAACGGCATACATTATCTCGCGAGTCCGAAAGCTACACTGAGAGGGAATTACGTCTCACAGCTGACCGCGAACGGCATACATTATCTCGCGAGTCCGAAACCTACACTGAGAGGGAATTACGTCTCACAGCTGACCGCGAACGGCATACATTATCTCGCGAGTCCGAAACCTACACTGAGAGAGAATTACGTCTCACAGCTGACCGCGAACGGCATGTACTATCCCGCGAGTCCGAAACCTACACTGAGAGGGAATTACGTCTCACAGCTGACCGCGAACGGCATGTACTTATCCCGTGAGTCCGAAACCTACACTGATAGGGAATTACGTCTCACAGCTGACCGCGAACGGCATACATTATCTCGCGAGTCCGAAACCTACAGTGAGAGGGCATTACGTCTCACAGCTGACCCCGAACGGCATACATTATCTCGCGAGTCCAAAACCTACACTGAGAGGGAATTACGTCTCACAGCTGACCGCGAACGGCATACATTATCTCGCGAGTCCGAAACCTACACTGAGAGGGAATTACGTCTCACAGCTGGTCGCGAACGTCATATTTTATCTCGTGAATCTGAAACTTTTACTCAATGTGTAGACCATTTGACAAATGATAGGGTGCACCATAATATTATTCGATCTCTTGAAGATGAACATGAGCATGAACAACGACTAGAGTCGGGACGCGAATATTACAATTCTTTGAGACAAGAACGATTAATAAGTTTGTCTAATGAAAGTTTAAGAATTTAAAATATTCGGTCTGAAACGGACGAACAGCGAGAGGCCCGTCTTACTGCAGACAGATTTCGACATAGTCTTAATGACTTAGATGTACACACTACAAATTCGGTGGCGTAGTGCGACCAATATAAAAGTGGGTTTGCTTATAACCTCACAATTGATTACAGATCATCTTCTGTAATAGGCGATATGAACGTAGTATGTTCTTTTTGTAATGCTTCAAAGTGGAGTAAGGAGTCGGCTGGTTTCTGTTGTTCTGGAGGTAAAATAAATTTTCCTTCGTTCGAAGATCCACCGGAACCTTTGAAGTCACTACTTTTAGGGGAACATGTACAATCTAAACAGTCCTTAGACAATATTCGCACTTATAATAGTGCGTTTCAAATTACATCCTTTGGTGCTCAACAATTCTCAGAAGGTCTTTTCATGCCTACTTTTAAGATACAAGGTCAGGTTTTTTGATAGGTTCCCTTTTGCCAGAAGACCAACCTAAGTTTCTTCAAATATATTTTGTATTCGACTACAACGAACAGTCGAATATAAGAAATCAATATTTCCCGAATTTAAATACTGTACTTATTTCACAACTTCAGAACATTTTTTATACATATCATTGCATCAGGTTAATTAGTATGTATGCAGTTTTAAATCGGCATTTGAAGCTCTTCCTCAAGATGGTGATAATAATTATAAAATTGTTATAAATGCCGATAGGCGTCAAACTCAGGAACACCCTGGGCGTTATAATTATAACGTTCCATCCACGAATGAAGTTGCTGTAGTATTGGTCGATCAGGAATGTGGTAGGCGTGACATCGTTATCCGTTCCAGAGACAATCGTTTGCAATGTATTTACGAAACCCACAGGGCTTACCACAGTTTGCAATATCCTTGATATACTCTCGAGGGGAAGATGGTTATAATTTCGCTTTATACCAAACTGATCCGCGTACAGGCGCACCTAATTATAATAAAAAGATGTCATGCCTTCAATTTTATTGTTACCACTTGCAAGTGAGACGGAATAGATTTGTATACTTTCAACGTTTTCGTGGCTTATTCAATCAGTTTATCGAGGCTTAAATTTTAACAGGTTGCGGTACAGGAGAAACGGTCTTTATTCCCAGAATTCCTATAATACCAAATAATTTTCCAATCCAATTTAAAAGAACGCAATTCCTAGTATCAGTGTGTTATGCAATGACAATTAATAAGGCTCAAGGGCAGACTTTTCGTGTTGCTGTAGTAGATCTCCGTGTCAATTGTTTCTCGCATGGTCAGTTGTACGTCGCTCTTTCACGGGTTAGCAGTTCTAGAAGCCTTTATGTTCACGTGCCGGACGGGTCAACTTTCAACATAGTTTACCCGGAAGCTTTGCGCTGAAGTATTTTTGTTCTATAAGTACTTAAAAGCCTCATATGAACGTGATCTAAACAATATTACCAATATATTAACTTAATAACACGCAAGGAGTTACACTCCATCCAAAGCCCAGCGACACTATAACATATATAGGAATGACGTCTTAGCAAAAGTTGTTTGTTGACTTACAAAAATGAAAGATCTAGAACGTCTCGAATCGTCTCGCGAATCACGTTGTTTACCCGTCCCCGGACTCTTAGAATTCAATATCAGACTTTCCAGATCTTCGATTTTGACGACCCCGTTGTCGCTGGCATAAGCAACAGGATCCGCGTACGAAGTCGCGGGCAGAAGCTAGTCCTGGATAAATTCGTCACTTTAAATGTACATTTGCAATCGTATTCTAATTTTCTTTGCTACAACAGATGTTTCAGCGAAGAACTGGGCATATTTTGCAAGAATTCCAGAAAAACGTTAGTAATGAATGTTTGTCTTCATTTTAAATAATTTTATGCCAAGATTCAAATGAATTTGTAGTTCTGTGAGGTACTCCTTTTATTTCAGCGTTGACCTTTCAAACAAAAAATATGTATAAATTTTCATTGATAATGTCTGCTAAGTATCTTGGGCCAGTTTTTTATCGCATTTCTATAAATGACTGTACACCGCAGCGGGAGAAAATCGGATGAAAAATAATATAAATTCCGATGACCCCGTCTAGACAACAATTTATTTAGCCCCTGAAATACAGGTAGAATATCCTAGTTTAGGGACTAATGACCACTGTAAATTTGTACTTGTAATATGTTCATCAATAAAGATTATTATTTCTTTAGATACATTATCATAATTTTCTCTTATCGAGATGTATCGATAAACCACAGAAAATTGGACGATTTCTGACAGGTCTTCTTTAGGTACGTTGGGCACTATTTGATATGATTTTTTTTCTCGGGAAGTACGGCGTAAGAGTTTAAGTGAGATTGTGGATAACATTTTACGAATTTTCGAATACACACGTTCGGGGCCCCTGTAGCCCGGGGGCCCCGTATCATTGATATGACTGATACGGCAGTAGCTACGCCTCTGACGTGCCATGCCAGGTTAATGATTCAAAATTATTATTTATTTATTTAACTTCATATACACATTAGATGTATATAGGCGGACTTAATGCTTGAGGCATTATCTACCAGTCTACCTTACAGTAGTACGGAGATAAAAGAGGTAGGTGTAATAAGAAGTATGTACAGCAATTAATATTCGCATATACATTTTTTTATAGAAGAGGGGGCAAGCGAGCGCATGCGGCTCACCTGATGTTAAGTGACTACCGCCGCAAATGATCAACCGCAACACCAGGGGAATTGCAGGTGCGTTGCCGGCTCTTTAGAAAAGAGTAAGCTCTTTTCTTGAAGGTCCCCAGGTCGTATCGGTCTGGAAAAATCGCCGGTGGTAAACTATTCCACAGAGAGGTTGTACGCGCGAAGAAAACTCCTTTTGAAACGTACAGTGGTGGACCGCTAAGCATCCAGATGGTGTGGATGGTATCGGGAAGTTTGCCGCGTAGTGCGTTATATAATAATAATATAATAACAATAATCTTAATTTCACGTTCAGGAAATTTGCCGGCTGGGATTAATCCGAACAATTCCTCAGAGCACTCTCCATGGGATATGCGAAAGAAAATGCAAATAGATGCAACATCTATTCGCAGTGCCAGTAAATCGAGCCGATCGGAAAGCACTCGGTCGTCGTCGATTCGAGCCGCTCTGCGCTGGATGCGGTCAAGTGGAAGGAGCTGGTACTGGGGAGCCCCAGCCCAGAGATGGGAACACCCTCCACCTCCCATGGCCCCACCAACCTCACGGTTATACGGGACGAATCTCGAGAGATGCACGCGGTACTTGCTCTGGGCTCTTTCCCGTGTGCACTTTCTTGACTCTCTACAAGTTATTTAATCTGTTCCTGTCCCTTGTATTCCACTCTCCCCTTCCGGGCTGGACGAATACACCACGCCTTCGGTTCCGGGCAGAACGCTCCTTTGCCTCTCCATGGCTGTTCTTCTCGCATACCATCCGTGCGAAAACTCCCGCAGCCGGCCAAAGCTGTCCTTACCGTCCACGAGGTCCGGGTAGTAAACCGGACAAACACTTCTGCGTACTATTCCGTCCATCATCTTACATCTCAGGTCGTCATACAACACACACTCCCATAGTACGTGATGCCTATCCTCATAGGCAGTTTCATGTCATACAGTCTCTTTCGAACATTCGGAGATGGGAACAGTATTCCATGTACGGCCGAACCTCCGCCTTGTAAAGTTGCAGGCGGTGTGCCGGCATGAAATACTGTCCCGCTCTGCTGAGCACGCCAAGCTTTTTTAGAGGCCAATTTGGCCTTCTCCTCCAAGTGACCACGAAACTGCACGTCACTCGATATGTTGACGCCAAGGATTCCGATACTGGCTGAGGCAACAAGGGGAGTGCCTTGAAACTGAGGAGATACGATAAAGGTGTTTTTTTTAGCCGTTAACGCGCAAACTTGTGTCTTCTGGGGGTTAAACTGGACTAGATTTAGTCGCCCCCAAATCCGAGAGACTGTTCAGCAAAGACTCGACTTCAGACACAAGTTTGTCCCGGTACTCGGAGACGTTTTCCCGAGAAATATTGGCTCGGCCGGTGTAAAGAGCATCACCAGTGCTGTCATCTGCATAGCAATGAATGTTACGGGTTTGCAACATATCATTGATATTGTGACGGCCCAATATTACTATTAATAATTAAATTCAATATAAAGGGGCGTCAAAAATAGTCTTAAAAGATATATATTAAGCAATTAAGTTAAATTAATAAACATAAAGTTAATATAATAATTTCAGACATTATCCCAATAACATAGTAAATTAAAGGCAAAATTATTGTTTTTCGTAATAAATAAATTTATTTAAAAAGTTGAAAAAAATATATTTAAAATAAGATAAATAATAGAAATACAAGTCAAAAAATATTATAAAAATTAAGTTAAATAACGTTTATAAGATAATTAGAAAATTTGTTAAAAATTGTAGCTTAAGTCATGAGGAGGTGTTCGTGTATAAAAGAAAATTTTTCTAAGTTATGGAAGGTGTTCACGTATAGATGTCTTGTATGGAGGAAGCTGTCGGAGGTACATACCTGCAGTTGTACATATATATGGGGTGGTCGGGAGCCCGACTGCCTGAAGTACTGTAGCACAATGACTAGTCCTATATTAGGGACTTATGATATTAAACTCAATGATACAAAAGCAATACTAAAGAAGGTCTCCATGATGAATTTGCATTACAATAGTAGGGTCGTGGGTTCGAACCCTATATATTAATGACTTATGAAAGTAAGGTCTATGATCCAAAAGCAATACTATAGAAGGTCTCTATGATTAATATGCATTACAATAGTAGGGTCGTGGGTTCGAATCCTATATATGAATGACTTATGAAAGTAAGGTCTATGATACAAAAGCAATACTATAGAAGGTCTGTATGATTAATATGCATTACAATAGTAGGGTCGTGGGTTCGAATGCTATATATACATGACTTATGAAAGTAAGGTCTATGATACAAAAGCAATATTATAGGAGGTCTCCTTGATGCATAAGCATTG